TCGTCGCCACCATCATCAGAATCTCTGGGCTCAGACTCCACTGCCAGATCGTCTGGATCGGACCACGGCTCCGCCTCCATCGGGTCCTCAGCCATAGGATCCGGCTCGGGATCGTACACGGCGTCCAACTCAGTCGGCATGAGCACCGTGGAGCGACGACCGAAATATGTCTCGACGCTGGGCGGAGCCTTGGAAAGGCGATCCTTCCGCCCGCGCTGCACCTGCCGCTTGCGCTGCGCCTCCGTGACTCGGTCAGCTAGCCGAACACCCTCGTCATGAGGCGGAGGAATGCTGTCCTCTGTCTCCTCCTCAGCGTCCTCCCATGGCAGAACGTACGTTGAACCCCTCCCCTGACAACGACTCAATCTCAAGTTGGTGGATATATCCACCAAACGAGCCAGCTTGATAAAACCAAGCTGGTGACGCTTCTTCACTTGAACACGCTCATGGATGGCCCAGTTCCTCTCCGCTAGAGAGGCGCACGTCCATGTGTGTGTCAGGCGAATAGCGTAAGTCTGAAGGAGAGGGACCCTGTTCCCGTGCTGAACCCACCACTGCCCCACCTGCGACGTCTCCTTCTCCCCTCTACGGGAGGACGCGTCCCTGTCACCCTCAACCCCTCCGTACGTCCAATCGCCCTCCCGGCTAAGAAACTCAGCCAACTGCGTGCGCAGCATCTGATACAAGTCCTCATATCCGCCAGTCTGCTGGCAAAGGTATCGCAGCGACTCGTCCGCGAGGGTCTTATCATGCGCGGTGCCTCGCCGCTGCAAAAGACGTGATGCTCTTGTGGCGAGGGTTGAGGAGGTGGGCGATGCAATGTGCGGGCTCCAACATATGATCGACCCGCGCCTGACAAGCCTGAACAACGATGTTGAGCTCCTCTCTAGACGTCCTGTTCAGTCTCGCCCTCGCCACCCTGTCGACCATGGCAAGTGCCCACAACCACATGCGAGTCATCACGCGCCCCCCTCTGTCTAGATGGCGTAACAGCTGCATCACAGGCATCATGAGCTCCACGATGTCCTCCACGTGCTCCCAAAATGGCGCGTACCGCACCTAATGACGCACCCACCTGGCCCGCAAGAAAATGGACCTCCTCCATGCAGTCCGCAACTAGTCGTCGCTCATCATCAACGCCTCCAATGCTCGGCGACGATCCAACAACCTCTCCTGCATCAAGTAGTGGGTAGCAAACCTTGTCTGTGTGGGGTACACAAGCTCTCTGCCTCGCCGCTGAGACGAGGGTGGCGCAGTGCTGGAACAGGCCGCAACTGCGGAGGCGGAAGAGGGGTGGGCGGCAGAGAAACGTCGGTAAAGGCTGAGAGCCGCCTCGTGCTCTCTTATGAACCGCACGACTGCTCGAGCCCTGATGATGGTGTCCTCCCGCTTCCCAAGCATCCCAGGGGTGCCGTCCTTCGCAATGTCTGACAGCAACAAGTTGCAGACATGGACCGCACACGGAAGCCAAGTAATGCGACTGTACTTGACCTCCTCCTTCGCCAAGAGCTTGGATGCAGCCACATACGCGGACGCAGAATCTGTGCAAATGGCGTTGACGTTTTCGACACCGAAGTTGTCGAACACGTCCTTCCATCGCTCCACTACCACCTCGGCTGTCCCCTGGACAGCACCATCGCACTGCATAGTCCTGAAAAGGTAGGCTCCCGTGGGCCCTGCAGCAAGGAAGTTGACGATCTGGTCGTTAGTGATGGACTTGCGACCATCCGTGAGGATGGTCGCTCCCGTCGCCACAATGTCCTTGCGGACGGCCGCCACAATCTCCACCACAACTCGCTGCTGCTGTGGAATACCGTCGCCGGAAATAAGACGGTGCGTGGGCAACGCAGGATGTGTATACGGCGGACACTCGAGCAACCGCTTCTTCACTCGCTGGTACTCCGGCCTCCTCGCGGCCTCGAATGGAATCCCGCTCACGTACCACCACTGCAGGAACTCGTTCGAAAACTCTCGGTGCCACGCCGGATCGAAGGTCTCTATCATGGAAGTCTGTCAAAGGACTTTGCCCTTCTTCGACAGAGGAGGAGCTGGTCTCTTTGCCTTCCTCTTTCTCTTCTTCGACTGCACGGCGTCCTTCATCGCTTTGGCATCCCCCTCTTGGCCTCGACGGCCAGCGGCCATCAGACCCCCATCAAGAGACGCCCCAAGGTCTGCACCCTGATCGTCGTCGTCATCGTCGTCGTCGACGTGCTCGTCCGAGGTGCTGTCCTCGGCAACGGCCTTGTCCCCTCTCATCTTTCCCACGGCGCGCTCCGCCTCTCGCCGCACGTTCATGTCCTGTAAATCACTCTCACTATCATCACCTCCCCCCTCGCCCGCCCTCCTCTCTTGCTCCCTGTCGTCATACTCCTCCCCCGCCTGCTCCCTCCCTGAAGTATTTCTATTATCTCGAAACCCACGAGACTTCAGGAAGTCGATGATCTTCCGATGGTGGCTCTGATCGAACGGGTAGTTTGTCTTGTTCCAGATCTCCGCGAGCTGCTCCACGGTGACTTTAGCGTAGTTGTTCTTTATTGTGAAGTATTGTGCGGCCTTCGATTGACTACCTTGCACAATTTGCACTCCATGAGAAAATTCCCATTGGAGTCCGGCAGTGTTTGCCCCTTCGTTATCCACTTGAATCCGCAGAACTTGAGCTCCGGCTGCCTCTGTTTGTCCTTACTGACTGGGACAAACTGTTGCTCTCCCCTCCCTTTTCAGGGTGCCTTCGTTCACACCCTACAAGTGGCCCCAACGTGGACAAGGCCCGAACCGCGCCCCTCCCTTGCCGCCCCGAACGCGCCTAGGACCCTCCGATGCCTTATGCGTCTGGGCCATACGGACGGCCACGCCTCCTACGTATGGGGCGTACGTACGGAAGCCCGTGAGCGACGCGCCACGTGTCCCGCGCCGGCGACGGAGCGGATAGTCCTCTACACCACGTGTGCCACCATCGTCGTTGTCGTCGCCGTCGCCGTCGTCTTCGTCCTTGTCGTCTCTCTCTCGCTCTCCCTCTCTCTCTCACACACAGACTCTCTCTCTCTCTGTCTCTGTCTCTGTCTCTCTCTCTCTCTCTCTCTCTCTCTCTCTCTCTCTCTCTCTCTCTCTCTCTCTCCCTCTCTCTCTCTCTCACACACACACACACACACACAAAGAAGAAGAAGAAGAAGAAGAAGAAGAAGAAGAAGAAGAAGAAGAAGAAGAAGAAGAAGAAGAAAGAAGAAGAAGAAGAAAGAAGAGAAGATGAAAGAAGAAGAAGAGGTTTCTCTCTCTCTCTCTCTCTCTCTCTCTCTCTCTCTCTCTCTCTCTCTCTCTCTCTCTCTCTCTCTCTCTCTCTCTCTCTCCCCACCACCGGTACGGATAGGCGTCCGGAGCATACGTACGGAATCGCCCGTGCGTATGCAGCGTACGTACGGAGGTCTCCCGTACGTTCGCGGCGTGCGCAGCAGGGTCGCCGACGTTCTCACACTCTCTCTGTCTCTCTCTCTCTCTCTCTCTCTCTCTCTCTCTCTCTCTCTCTCTCTCTCTTTAACAGCGATTTCGTCAAAACGGACATTTTATGTTTTTTGAACAAAATTGAAATTGTCATTTTTGAGATGATTGAAGTGCAAAAACCATTACAAATGGGCGTTCTGGTGTGAGGGGTAAGGGGTAAGGTATAAGGGATAAGGTATAAGGGGTAAGGTACAAGGGGTAAGGTGTAAGGGGTAAGGTGTAAGGGTTAAGATGTAAGGTGTAGGGGGATAAGGTGTAAGGTGTATGGGGTAAGGTGCAAGGTGTAAGGTACCATGCAATGGCAAGTGACACAGTGCGCCGAGGAATAATTAACACTTTATATACATTGTTTTTTGTCAAGCGCCATCTCGTGCCAACCACGTCTGCCCCCTTCGCAATCACACTGTAGAATATCACATAGGCACTACTCACAAGCCACTAGGTCCAATGCCATCCGACGACGTATCGCGGGTATGTCATCTGCGGTGAAACAGAAAGGCGGAAGTTTGCCCCGTGCCAAAAGTGACGCGTACGTGAGTACAAAGACCCCACATTCATTCGTGTCATGTTGCTTTGGAATGCCCTCTACATTCCATATGTGATTGAATGGTCTCGTGTCCACATCTTTGCCTTGCAATTTCGATCTTTCGAATAAAAACTTTGCAAACCCGCCGGTCACTCTTAACGCGAACTCCTTGTCGGGGTCGAAGGGGTCGTAAAATTCGAATTTCCTCCTCCTTAAGTCAGCCACGACCAAGGTCCAGTGATCCTGGTGTGCGATATGGAAAGGAGCAATAATCAAATTCATGTCACTTATAATTACATCCTGGTACCAGCGTTCTACCTCTCGACCTCTCATGTCATTATCGAAAAGTTTGACGAAAAAAAACGAGCTCAATACTGATACTCTGGGAATGGGACTGTTTCCTTCTCTAATGACTATCTCATTATCCGCGTCGCATTCTACGTGCTGTATTCTACAGCAGTTGTCTAATGCTACGAGGTTGAGATAAAAGTTGATCATGTTGTTGTTTAACCACTGTTGTTCGATGGCGAGTAAAAGAAAATCGATGCAAGTGAGTTGCAACACTTCGTTATTGTGCGCATCTTGTGTGCTGACAACGGGATACTTATTCCCGTATTCGCGAATGATACTCGCTAGTGCTGTCATCTCCCTCTCCGATAAAGACGAAGTTGCGAGATGCATTATCCATCCTCTTTTGCACAATCTTGTATCCGTTGTTGTCATTTGTACTGCACACCATAGATGATGAGGAAGAGGACATTCACGCGGGCGGACGGGGCAAGTATTGTGAGTGCATGGCCAAACGCTTTGTGAGAGCTGATGCATGCAAGGCATGTTTTCATTATTTCTCTAATATTTTACTTGTATGAACGTCATTCACATATGCAGTCATTCCTCGCATCGATCGACCACCCTAAACACACGTCCATGTCGCAACGAGAGAGAGAGAGAGAGAGAGAGAGAGAGAGAGAGAGAGAGA